TTACAGTAAAACTGTTGCAATGTCTCTCTTTTATGAAGAAAAGAACTACAGGCTCTGTGGTGTGTGTAATACTTTGCATCTACCCTATGTCCACATTTAATAATAAATAAGCTGCCTATGTGGCTTACGTGGGATTAAAAACAGACTGAAACACAAGCTATAAGCGGTGAAAGGCTTGTACCCTAGCCCTCTGCCTCAGTATGTACAGAAGCATAAGAATACATTTAATGGGCTCAGACCACACACACACACACACACACACACACACACACACTCTTTTACCTATAAATTTCCCAATTCCTTCCTTGTACTCCTCCAAGACCTCATGAAGTTCCACACTGTATCCAAAGATAAAAGGACACACATATTAGACATGTAAACAACAGCTTCAATGACAAGAAGTCTGCAGAAAGAAGCATGGACAAGTTAATTACTCAGCCAATATCACGAGATCATACTGCCCCAGGCCTGCAAGATAGAGCTGCTGTGTAAAGAAACCCACATCTTGTCAACACAAGTGCCATCTAAATCTGGATCAGACTATGTGGTGGCAATGCCAATCCATACAACATCAGTTACCACACATCATGGTAGAAGACCTGCAGGTAGGGAGCTACAGAGCCTGTTTTTGCAAAGGTAGGAGCAACCTTAGCAAGCTGCTAGGAACCCACTTTTTCAGGCTTTATTTTAGGGGAAACTACTTCTTCCCTGAATAAAAGTTGATAACTATAGAACGAGACCTCAAACTGCTCTTGCTCTTACAAAATCAAAGGGAGAATCAAATAACTAAGAAAAAGGCCCAAAGGGTTAAATGCACTGAACATGTTAAAATACTGAATTTTTGCATACAACACACCCACATACATAATACGCATTGATTTTAAGAGGCAGAGTGAAGAAGATAAAATTTTCCTAGGAGAAACCAAGTAGCAGCAGTTAGGGAGCCAAACCTACTCCCAGGGCTGTCCTTTGCGAGGGGCAGATTGGGGCAACCGCCCCAGGCCCTGCGCTTTGGGGGGCCCCGCAGAGCCAGGCAGAGTGGCTGTGGTCCCGCCCCTCGCAGTGTTAAAGGGGCCTCTGGCTGCTCCCAAGGCCTACGTGCCAGATGGGGCCCACGGATGGACCCAGCAAACTGGGCCAATAACCAGCACACACAGTCGATATACATGCGCTGGCTGTGCGTTGGCTGTGACCCAGCACAGAGTTTGGGGCCATGTGCTGGTTTTGACCCCACATACTGGGTCCAGGGCCACGTGACTGCCCAGACACAGAATGATCCTGTGCATTGCCCCACAATGACACATGAAGCCATCTGGCCAGGGTGATCTCCATAGGTCTGGAAAATTGGCAGCAGAGGAGTGATGACAACATCAACTGCCATGGCTCCCAGAGCCATGGCAATTAACTCTGCCAACACTCGCCTACTACTAAATTTCTGGATCTCTCACATATACCGCATACCAAGTTTCACCAGCCAGTTTTAGTGAGAAGGGTGCAGGCTATATACAAGACAATATGTTAAAAATAATAATTCTTAGTATTTTTGTTCCACGTATAAAAATATTGCAGGTAACAAAAGTCAAGACTGTCATAATTATTGCTACGCTCACATATAAGTCAAGTGATTTTTATGGTTCTTTTGGAGAGTTAAAAAAAAAGGTTTGACCTGTAACTGAAAAAACACAGCACTTGCTTTGAGATCTCATGCATACATAATTCATGTAGAACCTATTCAACCCCAAGGATCTAAACCAAAGGTGACCAAACTGTGACATGCATGCTACAAGTGAAGTGGCACACAGCAGACTCAGGAGGGGACAAGCAGCACAGCAGCAGATGAGGCAGAGAGCAGAAAGCATAGCAGCAGAAAGGATGGGAATCACTGAGCAAGGAGCAGCAGAGAAGCAGATCAAGCTGGGAGCACAGAGCAGGGAGCAGAAAGCAAAGCAACATATCAGGTACAAGGAGGTGACTGGCAGGAAAGGAGCACTTGGGATGGGTGTGGGGCTAATTGGTGGCACTCCCTGATCTAAACCCTCAAGGGGAATATGATGGCTGACACTGTGGTGGGCATACCTGAACCTGGGACCTCAGACCTAAAACAATCAGCTACTATTACTGTTAAACAGGCATCAAGGATCTCCAGCTAGGACTGTAATGGAGTCTGTGGATCAGAATGAGAAAGATCTGTTTTGCATCCTGACCAGAGCAGTTACAAGAGGATTCTGTACAAGTCAAAGTATGGCTATATTAGGAAACCAGGAGGTGGACAGTTTTGCCTAGTGGTTAAACATGTAAAGCACTGGTGTGGTCCCAACTGTTCCTCCAGGGAGCTGGGGGTATGGAGGAGTCTGGTGTCAGAACTGGATTCAGGGGCTGTAGCTAAACTCAAAGCAGGCCAGGATCAGAAGCCAAAGACAGGTCAAGCCAAGGGTGAACCAGAATCAGGAGCTAAAAGCCAAAGTCAAAGTTTGATCAGGATCAAGAGCTGAGAACTGCAATCATGGAATATCAAGGGTCTTACCAGGATTGGAAACTGGAGTTGGAGCCAGTCAGAACCAGAAAACCAGCAAGGAAACTCACAGTGTCACCCTTGCTGCCGATGCATGTCAAGCAGCCATTTCACTGATTGCTGTCTGTTGCTGATGCTCTGCCCTCCCACTGTCAGAGCAGCTGTAGGTGAGGTGCAGGGCATAAGCTTGGAGGGCAGGAGGGGAGGCATGCCATAGCTCCATTCTGGCACCCCCAACCCTAAGTCACACCCAGAGCTCTTGACCCTACTTGCCCACCCATTGTGTGGCTCTCCTGCAATATTTCAGCACAGCAAAAATATTGCTGGTGTAGCTTTTGCTGCAATATGCCTTGTCTCCATCCAGGAAGAGCACACACCAACTGCTGAAACGTCCTTAGCCTGACGAAGGGTTTTTGAACCTGAAAGCTTGCTTAATAAATATTCTCCAACTATTTGGGTTGGCCTAATAAAAGATATCAAATTCACCCAAGGAACCTTGTCTGCCTTGTCTCCACTAGGGGACTCTGCAAACAGTTCTGCTGGCACAGCTACAGCAGCAAAAGCCCCATAATGCAGACAAGTCCTCAGTGAGAAGTCCCACTGGCAGCTCTCCTGCAAGCTTCCCCAGGGCGTGTTTGCATTTCCAAATTTTGTATTTTACAAAGAGCATTGCCATAGCTAGGTGCTGGTGCTTTACAGGCCAAGCCCTTCATGGTTCCAAAGCAGCAGGCTCTCTCTTCCTGAGAACTGCTTAGGGCTGTATAATCATCCACTCTAGGGTTCCCTGCACCTTAACCTGAACATCTGACTCTCGCTATTACTGGGGAGAACAAGATGCTGGGCTAGAGATGCTCCTGGGCTGAGCCAGATGAGATGCTTCTCGCTTCACACACTTTAATAAAATAAACCTGTAACTGGGTGAGGGTGGGGCAACTTATTTGACAGGCATACCACAAATTAGCCCTGCGCCCTCCCCGAGTGCCATTCCAATCCCCTTCCTCTGCCTGGTCTCCTGTTCCACTTTCAGCTCCTAGCCTGATCTCCTGCTCTTACTGTTCGTTCCCTCACCTACCACATGCAGAGACTGCCTGTGCTGCTTGTGCCACAGGTTGGCCACCCCTGTCCAAACAAAGAAGTGTTGTTTCCAGTTGGGAAGCTAACTGCACAAAAGCAGGTGTCCATCTGGGCTTTGTACTTACAGGGTTGAAAGAGTGATCTGTGCAACAGTGGGAACACCTTTGATCGCCTGCAGCGTGTCGTGCGTGAGATGCGGTGGGGATCCTGTCTTGGTATACAGCAGGCAGCCTGGAAACTCCAGAACTTCAGCCCCTTCCTTGCCAAGATTAGTCAATTTCCCAAGACGGCATCCGTTGACCACCTTGGAAAGATTTAACTTCATCCTGCTAAACTCTCCTGGCCAACTGCATCTAGGTTCTTTAAGCAGACAGATCGCTGAGGGAGGCTTTCTCCCCCAAAAGGCTGGGTTTCTATTTGTTTCTGTAAAGGCTAGGAAATGGAGAGAAACCACAAATGTACAGATGTTCAGGCTTTTTCTCTCAGAGTAAAAATGGCTGCTCCAGGGGGAAAAAAAACAACTGTGCACAATCAGGGTTAAACCCCTTCCAGAAGAGTAACTCCTGAGGGATCAATTGTCTGTGCCTGCTGACAACACAGACTGACCATGGGCCTTCTGCTAGCCAAGCAAGGCTGCCCTATGCATTGCTGTCATCTGCTGCCAGGCAGACTAAGGGAGCCTGCAGAACATACAGAGATGCTTGCACAGGAGTCCCCCTGGCTGCACCACGTCAGCACAGCAAGCCCTCCGCTCTTCAGGACCTCAGTAGGTGAGCGTCTGTATTCATGGCTCTGGGTAAGTTTCTCTACAAGGAGAACAAGCCTGGGCAAATTTCCCCAGGTTATCTGAATGCATGTACGCACCCCAAGTCTGGTGGGACTCCAGCCTAAGTGCTGCCCAATTTTAGCAGTGGCAAGGCCGACCAGGGAAGCATTCTGCCTTCCTTAATTATGGAAGCTGAATTAGGGGACACAGCTACTGATTTCATGGGACAGCCCATGCAAAAACAGGGCCACCGGTTAGTAACGGGCACTCCAGGGTCACCCACCGGCCAGCACCCACTGGCCCTCGACTGCTGGGACTCAGGAGAGTGGGGCACTGCACCTGGGGAAGTGGCACGGTTCTTGCTCTCCTTCCTCAGGCCTGTCCCACACTCCCTGGGCACTGTCCAGCACCAGCCTGGGGGCTGCTGCTCTAGCTCTGTGCCCCTGAGAAGGACTGGACCAGGGCATCTGGCACGGCGCCCTCCCACACCCTGTCCCCCTCATTGCGGCGGGGCCCTGGATTTTGGCCCCACCCCACCGGGATTGGTCACTGGGCCTGGCACCGCCCCCTTCTGCCCCCCCGCCCGGGACTGAGCACTGGCTCTGGGCTCGCGCGGGGGAACTCGCCGCAGACCCTCCTTACCTGCTTCTCCCAGGGCCCCACGTGTCTGCGTCGCAGCAGGCCGCCCGCGGCCCTGGCCCAATCAGCGCCCGCCATATCATCACTGAGGGACGCAGGGGACTCCCCCCGGGGGATGATTACGTAGGGGTGCCGTTGCCATGGTGAAACCGCCGCAAGCTGGCGGCGCAGTGCATCGTGGGCCGCGTAGTCCGCGCAGCCCGAGCTGCCGAGGCGCCACCCGCCGGGGGACTCGACTTCCCGGCATACCTCGCGGCGGGGAGAGCCACCCACCCCCAGCCATGGCTTTCTCGGGGCTGTACCGCTGGCAGCGCCTCGGCGCCGCGGCCCGGCCTAAGGTAACCGTGACTCCCCACGAGCAGCTACGAGCCTCTCGCGGCCCCTATGGAGGTGTCCTCCCCCTCCACCAATGGGGTTCACCCGCCCCCTCCCTGTCGTGGCCAATCAGGGGGCTCCGTCCATCCAGGGGGCATCGGGGGCACTGTTGGCCAATCAGAAAACACCTTTCATCCCCCCGACCGTCCATGCACCCCCTGGGGAATGCAGTCCAGTGGAGGAGCCCTGGGGCTCTCTGCACCTCTCTACTTCCCCCCCCCCGGCCCCGCGT